GCTATTTTGCCGCCCTCTGGACTGGGGCGCCCGGGGCGCCCGCCCCACTTGCCCCCCCCCCCCCCTAGTTACGCCACTGCCTGGCCGAGGTATCGCCTGCAACAAAAAGCTTCGTCAAAGGAAATGAAGATATTGTGTGCGCCTTTGTGATGAGAGTTGCCTACTTTATTGTAAGAGAATATTCCCGGTCGTACTTACTCATGTTCGGAATGAATAGCTTGACGGGGAAGTGTTGTGTGAGCTAAAGGAAAAATGTATTTCATAATACCCCCCCATCGGATGATATTTTTAAGAGTCAACCCAATAAGAATCCCATAACCTTTTTGTCTAGGCATCAAAAAGCGTGCTCTCTTCATCTTGAAATGCCCAACAGACCTTGACAGACCTTGATTGTCAGTAAATTCATGATTTCCAAATAAGCGTCGATTCTGTAAAATGGAAAGGACAATAATCTATCGCAAAAGCCGTGATACATTCCACTCATGTCAATGGGTACATGTCCAAAATGTAAGAGGCACATTATTTTTTAAAACATATGTTATAAATAGCCTCCAGTATACAAAGAGTACTGTAATAATGAGGACTGAATTGTAAGAATATAAACTTGGCGAATATCTTGAGGTATGACTTGAAAATTCTATCCTACTCAGTATTGCTGTGATGCCTGCAGTATGGCGAACTTCGCCACTAGCGAATGCACCTAATGGAGGTCTCTGGAGGAGGCAATGGAGGCAAGGGAGTACCATATTTTTCTACATAATCACCATATCTGTTGAGGCATTTATCTCAACGTAACACCAAGGATTCTATCCCTGCCCACCAGAAATCCGCGTCGTGTCCGGAGTCATGTTGTCACTGCCTACTGCACCTCAGCATCTGTTGTAAATCGGCTGCCACTGAGGTAATTCTTTAGGTGACGGGTGTTTCCATGTCATGGAATGCAGCTTTAGTTTCTTGGGTGTAATGGTGCCTCCATGTCTCATCTCCTGTCACAATGCGCTGGAGAAGTCACACTCCTTCTGTCAGGAATCCAGTCATATGGCGCAGTGAGAGTCCCATTCGGATGGATTTTTGACCTGCTATCCTGCGATCCTCATCTAGCCATACTTCCGTGTCCAACATATTTTAAAGTCATTTATTCAGATTCTGAGGTATCAAATCTGAGGTACTTTGTAGCGTATTGTCTAAAGGTTACGAAGACAAGGGAAAAGGAACATTAAAAATCGATAAGAAGGGTGGATTTCGGGATACCATGAGCTCCTCCAGGAGGGGGAGTTTAAACACCACCTTCAAGTACAAACTTGTTGAAAAGAAACAGTGGAACTTGAAGTGTGATGTTGGCGCACCAGAATAATTGTAACTTTGTCAACCTGATGCATCCACTAGTCACTTATTCGCCAATGGTTATTGTTCCTTGCATGCTCATGAATCCCGATTCCGTCCTCCTTTCATTTGATGCAACGATCTTTCGACTGGATAAGGGGCAGCAAGCGGCTCTTTTAAAAACGACTTGGAATTAATTATTCATCGTTTTTTTTTTAAGTAGAAAGCAATATTGTCTGCCTTGAAGCCCATTTTTTTTTCCCAAAATGAGCCAAGCTGGCCGTCTCCAACTGAAGTAATGAAGGTCCAGGAATCGTTCGAATGGACAGCAAAAGAGAGAACAGCAATTATTCGCAAAATGGATTTCATTCATAACTTCATCGAATCATATCCCACGAGTGGATAAAAACAGTAAAAGGCGTTCCCCTATTCGGAAGCCAACCAAACGAGAGTGGCCATGGACTTGGGAGGCAGGCTAGTATCAAAGGCAAGTCCGCCCTCCTCCAATCGGATTGCCTGCTTCGTCTTGTTCCTTCAAAAGAGGATGAATGTCTTAAAAATGAGGAAAGTGAAAAACTTATGAACGAGAGGACGAGTGACACAAAAACTAGGGAAACAAATATTGATCATCTACTTTTTTTAATGCATCGAAATCCACGAGGCAACAGGAAGTCCGCCGATACGCAAACATGTTTATTCCCAATAAAGGTAGTTGCTCTTCTTGATGTGATAATCACTGAGTCATGGTGTAATAAATGCTATGGTTCTGACTAGGGGTTCAATCCTTTCAAGTTCTTGTAGAATCGTGAGGGCACGCAGAATATGGATTGACAGTCATGAAACAAATTTCACGAATTTTCTCTATCACTTGATGGCCCAAGTTATTCAAGCATAAAATCGATGCATACCTCATCGGGAGCCGGTCTACTGTAATATGCGATCAACGGGTTCACCTTCAACTGCCCTATTCCACAAACCGGGGTTCTGGAGGGTTCGGGAGATCTTAAGGCAAGACTTGGCAAGAAACGACATTCAAGATCTTGATAGGAACCTTTCTTAAAACCCAACAGTAATAAATAACCTGCAAAAATAATACAAGATCCTTCATTTAATTGCCATCCATTGACAATGCTGATGCGCGAGTTTCATGAGTGTTAGTTGTAGCGAAGAAGCTGTGATCGCGTTTGTGGAATCGTGTGGTGTACAAATGACGCACGCTGTGCAAATTTGCAACAAGGTTCAAAACAACTGGGAAATCTGTGGAACAACAATGCGGTGAAGGACACGCAGGGACAGGGCAGGAGTCAGCTACCCTGTTGATCGGTGCCCAAAGCGAGGTTGTCGGACCTACCGTTCTGTGTGACAGAAGAACAAATTCTTTTTCTATGAAGATGCAAGTGGAAGACGTTCATGCAAGCTTCAAATTCGGTAAATCCTGGAGCTTCTGATGTTTTGGCTCTTGGACACTGCAGTGGACAAGATCCTCACTATGACGACCTATGGCAGACAAACTATTATTAATTGCCACAATATGTGCCGAGAAGTATGCTCCCTGATTGTAGATTTCAGCAGACAAGGGAAATTGATTGGGACCGAAGAGGAACCAATTCAAATTGGTGAGCCCAGGTTTGCTGAGAGTCGGAAGTATAACCGGGACCGCCTACTGCAGCGGGATGCTCCAGCTCAAGAAAGTGCCAGCGATGCCGTCATGATCAACCATCGAAACCACGGTCCAAGAATTGATGGTCAATAGGCATTCGGTCTTCGACGGGGTTCTGATATTCCAATTTATATTGTGCAAGAAAGGGACCGACAATCATTGGAACCCCTAATCCAGCGTGAGTGTGAAAGTGTCTCCCATATCCACTCGGATGAATGGCGAGTATATTTTAATCTCAGCCAGATCAACTTCAATCACGACACCGCACAGTGGTACAAAAGTCGGAAATTCTTGGACAAAAGTCATATTTTGAAAATGGAGGGGTAGAAAAAATATTTTGTCGTTAAAAGTTACGGATTGAAGTATTTGTCCTTCAACGCTATTTCTCCAGGCCTTACTCTGGTTCTTTATTAGCCTTTACGTGGTGCAAAGGTCAATGATTCGAACTTTCCTGAAAATATTGAAACTTGATGCCGAATAGTGGCAAAAGTTTGTCCTAATGGTGGGTCTTGCTTATTGTATGTACAGTTTTACTCCTGGTGTATATGCATAACTCTTGTTATTTATTAGATCCTGTGTAGTTGATTGATGAAATACTTCTAATGACAAGGTAAATTTATCGAGTGAATTTGAAATACTTCTCAAGATTTCTCAGAGAATTCCTCATAAGCCAATAAGTATCTATTAATGAAGAACAAAACCAGCCCCTAATCACCTCCGCCCAGCTGCGCCTAAAGTGAGGATTTTTTTCGTATTGTTGGTCTCGCAATTTCTTCAAGAAGGGTGCCTTTGACTCGATTGGACCTCTACATCATGAGGGAGATGAACCAAGCCGACCTTGCTGACTCAAGTGTCATTTCTGTGTCGGTCGAGCTCATTCAAGCTCGCAATAAAATAAGGCAATATTTTCGTGAACCAGGGCAACTTAAATTGTTGAAAGGAGGCGAGCTTTTCAGAAGTCTTGCCTTTATTCTTAGGGCTAAGTCTTGCAGAAAGAACGACAGGTTTTCAGACAGCGATGCCAATCGGAAGGCTTGGTTTACAAAAAAGGTTCCTCATTTTAGGCGCAGCTAGGCGCAGCTGGGCGCAGGAGATAAGGGGCTGGTTTTCTTCTTCATTAATGGATATTGTGTTGGAAAGAAAGTCTTGCAACACCCTGCGCAAATTTTCCAAAACTTTATAGCTTTATTGAAATGCAATTTCAGTCTACAATGTTGTCTATTATATTGTTGTCTATTGTTGTCTATTACATGTTCCAAACGCACGGATAACTGCTCGATGCCCTTTGCCCAGAACTCTGGCGATTGCGAAGCGAAGAACCGGCCGACATCATTTTCGAGCTGTGCTCGATCGTCGAAGGCCTCCTCCCGCAGGTGTTTCTTGAGGGCCCGGAACGAGTGATAGTCGGAAGGGGACGGGTCCGGAGAAAACGCTGGATGGGGTAAAACTTCCCAGTCCGGTTCCGAAATTGTCTGGCGAGTCATCTTCGCAACACGTGGACGAGCGTCGTCATGCAGAAGGAGAACTTTGTCGCGTTTGGGACGCTCTTTTTGAATGACGCCTGCCAACTTCTGAAGTCGAGCAGCGTAGACGACGGCAGTCACGGTGGTACCGGTTGGCAGGAGCTCATAGTACAACATTCCTTCTGAATCCCACCGACTCCACAGAAGAACCTTCTTCTGGTGGAATCCTGGTTTCGGTTCGTGTGTCGGCAATTCTCCTCGTGGAAGCCACTGACTCTTGCCGGTATGGTCGACGTAAAGGGCCCAGCTCTCATGTCCAGTAACGATTTCCTTCAGAAGGTCCTTTCTGTGCTGACGAAGGAGCAGTGATTCCGAGACACTGACACGGCTTGCTTTGCCAGAGTCGCTGAGCCGATGAGGGACCCATTTCGAGTAAACCTTCCGATAGCCGAGGTCGTTCGGATGGTTGCCGATGGCCATATGGGTGACTCCAAGTGTAGAGATCGGAGCCATGGCTGCCAACTAATGGCAGAAGTCGCCTTATATACCCCGAGGGCAGAAGCTTCGAGAACATTCCAGCATATGCAAATGCAAAGCCCCGCCCATCATTCCTTTGAAAATTTTTATAAATAGTTTTAGAAAGGGTTGCAAGACTTTCTTTCCAACCCAATAAAAAGGGAGACATTCTTCTATCCCCTCTCCCTCAAGGTGGAGCCGAGGCGATCCCTGACGAAATCTTGTTGCTGCTCCGCCGTCCACCCCATGCAGTCGAAAGGGAAATCCAAGAAGCCTCCGAAGATGGGCTCGTTCTGTGACGTCTGTCTCCACACCTGCACTCCTTTGAATGCTTTGAATGCTTGTACGATTCTGCAAAACTGAAATCATTAGGAATGCTCTTTTTTCACCTGAAATAAGAAAGGCAAAGAGGAGTCCAGCTGAATCCACCATGTTGTATGTCACTAAATGAATATTCTCAGACGATACCGGAGAAGGATAGCAAATATCAAATGTATCTGACGGTCCCTTGAAAAGTTATAGCCAATCAAAATTGGGTGGTGTCTCAATGATAACCATGTATGTTGCTAAATATATTAGAGAACACTTGATGGAAGGAAGACCTGCTACCATGACCACCACGAAAACAGAACCCTTCAAAGGGCATGCTCTCAAAATATATAATTCTTTTATTATTCTCTCTGCTGTCCACATTTCCTCCGCCCACGAACTTTCAGAGCCACTTTCGCGGAGACCATGGCATTACCTTGGGTGACATTATTTCGCCTACAACACTCTATCGAACTTGTCTCGCTTTAGGCTACCGTCATGGGAAATTGACGTTTGCGCTCTCTGTAAAAAAAAAGATCCAATCAATAGATGCCATACTCTATCGAAAATGATACCGTCATTTACATGATATACGATTGACTCCATTGACGAGTAACCATCTTAAATGGCCTCATCTTCAATTGTGCCTCAATGAAAAGAAATGCAAAAGGGAATATGTCTATAATCAGAGCAGTACTCAGGTATTTCGCAGGCCCAACTCACCCCAGAAAACCCTTTGAGTTTCAACGAAACCTATGCTCATTCATCCCATCCGACGCCTATGGAGAAGCCGATGGTATCCCAGAGGCCACGTAGCGTCTCATAGGAAACGCACCGGGATAATACTTTGCGGTGGCATCCCAACTAGGAAGAACCTGTGTCAAATCTGTAAAATAACGTTTGATGGGACAGGCAACAATTATAAAGAATAGTGTGCGAAGCCCACGCACGCCTCTATCGGGAGGTAATTCGCTCAGAGGAACCGTTTCCTTTAAACTGTGCGAGTCATGTATTCCCGGCAGAGTAAATAATAGAAATAATAAGGATTGAATTGCAAGGATTTGACCTTCGTCAAGAGTCTAAAATGTGACCGTGCAAGGCTGTCTGGCACATGTAATTGAAGAGCTGATAGGAAAATTGTAGGAAATGCAGGAAATGACCGAGGAGCCTGTAGTTGATGTGATGCACATAAACCACTATTGCATCCATGGACGATGGTACGCGTTTCTGGGATTTATAATGCAAGAGAAGTGGCCCATCAACGGACGTCACATATCCTCACGTCTAAAAAGACGGTCACTGGAATGTGAAAAAGTGAATTACCATTTTTTAATGGTTTACCATACCATACCAACCCTCCTTCCGCTCACATCTCCAGCACCCACTAACATCAGACCTCGGCCTAACGGAATGTCTTCAGATCAGGCCAAGAC